CAAAATCCCTGCCCCCCTTTCTACAAAAACCCTTCCCCCCTTTTTACAAAACACCTGCCTCTTCTACAAAACCCCTGCTCCCCCTTTAACATAACCCCTGCCCCCTTCTACAAAGTTCATTCTCCTCCTTTAACAAAACACATGCCGCCCTTCACCCTCCACAACACCAATGCCACCCTCTACAAAAGCCTTGCACTCATTCTACTTAAACCCCTGCACTCCTTATACTAAACCCCTGACCCCCTTATGCTAAACCCCTGCCAACTCTACAAACCCCCCTGCTCTCCCTTCAAAAAAATTCTTTCCCCTGCCACTTCATCAGAAATGCCTGCCCCCTCTTCTACAAAACTCCTCCCCTAAACCAAAACACCAAACACTCCTCCCCTACACCAAAAGAAAGAACAATCTATTTAAAAGTATTAAAAAAAAAAAAAAGCAAAAAAAGCAATAGTAAACAACAAGGATAAGCAGACTCACATTAAAGCTTGCTGCTCCCTGGACCCTCCTGACAGTGTCCCAGTCCGCCGACTTTGATTTCAAAGCACTGACCACCTCCCTCACACTCACTTTGCGAATACTTCCGCAAATGACTGTGAAGGCGGAGCACGCTCCTCCTCCGGGTTCCTGGCCTCCTCTCTCTCCTAGTTTGGGCAGACTAGATAGGCCAAATGGTTCTTATCTGCCATCACATTCTATGTTTCTATGTTTCTATGTAACACTGGCCGCTGCTCTCCTCATAATTTGCACTTGACTTGCTCTGAATTGCCGACACATGATTCGTGTTGCCTGGGAGTGACTGAATGCGAGTTGGGTCAGCCGCCCGGCGTCCCTGTTGCCATAGCGCCCTGTGCAGCCGCACAGCTTGCACACCCCTCAAACTGGCCCTGCCTGTTCCCATTTACTAACAGTAATCCTCATGACTACATTGTCTATATATTAGGGCAAGTCTACCAAACCTTAACCTTTGTCAATCGACTTTTCTTATAAAACTCTAGAATAAAGTTAAATTAGGTCGCTAATGTCAGAGGTATAACAGAACTAGGTTTTCTTGTTTTATATATTTTCTTTTATTGAATAATTGCATACACATAAAACAATACATGCAACAAATTGAAAATTGTCGGCCATTATATATATTTTTAATACAAATATTCCTTATTTTCGTGAAAAAGTGCAGAGTTAGACAAGCCACATACAGACTCTAGCGATTTAAACAACCAAACAATAGCTAGAGAAATCGGGATTGATGTTAATTCTCAGCTGCGAAGATAAAAAAAAATCATTAGACATATTGTTTAATGCAAATTAATATGACAAACAAAAAATCAGACAAGGACGAAATAGACAAAGACAAAATGGCCATGTTAAAAATACTCTCAGCAATTAGGGGAATAAAAATCCTCAGACTGGAGTGTAAAGGATAAGACCGAAAATTCGGTATACATCACTCTCAATGTATCTCCACACTGACAGCTTAATCAGGGAAGATGGGACAATATAGAGATAGGAATTATAATTCTTAACCTCCCTCTATATATAAGGTCTTATATATTCTCTATACTCTATCCAGTAACCATACTCATTCCGTGAACCCTTACAAATGCCCAGTTACATTTTTAATTGGAATTTCAATTGCTCTTTAACCATGGACCAAACTGGAGACAGGGGTAATAGAACTAGATTTTCACACTGTGTCTCTCTTTGGAGGGTTTGAAATTGACTGTATTCACGTACTAAGTTTCCAAAGAATACTATACATGACCTTTACTTCATACCTCCACAGTGGTGCAACCTCCAAACCTATACAGCAAACCAACTGCAATTTCCATTTTGAGTATTTTGTATTATAAATTTTTTTTTTTTTTACATTTAAACATTTACAGGGAAACTCTTATATTAATAATGCAAAAATGTATTTCTAACAGTCGAGTGCTCTCTTTCAGTTAGGTACTTCCCCCCCTTTAAAATGAAAATAAAATAAATCTTCATCCCTCGAGTTTTGGTCTCGCCATAGCTGCTGCTCCGCCCCTGACTGAGATCATTATTACTGTTAGACATATTTTCTTTTGTTACAGGTGCGTGCGCTGTTCTTTTAACTGTAGTTTGTATAGATTTTAGTCTTTATGGCAGCACCACTACTTAAAAATGCATGGTGTTGGTGTACCCCCAATTTCTATTTTTTTCTCTGTAGATTTAGTGCCACAGGAAAGCATAGGTTGAGGAGTCTCTGGAAGCAGTTTAAATTGTAAGTATTGCAAGTTAGCAGATATTTCTCCCATTTTGAAATTAGTGTTGGATCCACCGATACTGGGGTACTGTAACGTAGTTGTGGCCTGAACACAATATATGGTTGAACTGAATCCCTATGTTTGTTTTTTCTAAGATAGGTGATTTTAAG